CCGGTCCCCGTAAGTGGATCATCTCCCGGTCTGAGCAACCCTGGCGAGTCAGGGAAAACGTGGCAGGGGACCTGGGCGGGGGGCTCCGGCGGCTGCAGCACGGAGCCAAGGGTGGAGGCAGAAGGGGCCTCAAGCCACCTGCAAATGTTTTGTTCACGCAGGCTGGGATGGATTTAATTGAACGTACCGGGCCGCTTCCTTTTGATTTTTTTTTTTGACAAACCCAGAGTGAACCCACAGGGATTTAGAAAACCTCGCGCAATTAACAGCCGGCAGCTGTATGTAATCCCAGCATTTGGGAGATGGATGTTAGAAGGATCCGTAGTCGAAGATCAGGCTCAGAAACGTAACGGGTTTGAACTCCACTGAAAGCCCGGTGCGGTGGTGCACACTGCTAATGCCAGCACTCACTCAGAAGGTATAGGCAGGAGGGTTGCTGGGAACTCGAGGTTACTCTGAGGTACATATAGCAAGGCTACCTAGAAAGACCCTGTCCCAAATAACAACATGTAATACTTTGTAAGAGGTTGTGGTGGACCTGTAAATACCAACTCTTAGGAGGTGGAAGCAAGATGATATGGAGTGTTTGTTGCTAAAATTCCTTTCCTGGGGGAGGGGTAAACAATGTCTACCCAATCCTCCTAAAATCCCAAGGACAAACGGAGGTACATTTTTACCAAAGTGATTAAAACTATCAATGAGCTATGGGGAGAAGTGTAGGTGAGCCTGAAACAATGGTATGGATGTTGAACTCCCATCCCCTTCCCCCATGGTCATTGGACAACCAGGGATATATAGAGAAACCCTGTCTCGAAATCCAGTTGGGCAGGAACATTGCCTTCCTTCCCTGATACATAGAAATAAAAGGCCCATTTCATCCATTCCCATGGCAATAAGCAGGTATTTTTTGTTCTTGTTTTGTGTTTTTCGAGACAGGCTTTGTCTATGTCATCTTGACTGTACTGAAACTTGCTCTGTAGACTAGGCTGGCCTAGAACTCAGAGATCTGCCTGCCTCTGCCTCCCAAGTGCTGGGACTAAAGGCCCACAACTGCAATGAGCACATTTTACAGAAGCAAGACAGCTGTTAATACTTTACAGCCCACTATCCTATTCTTATCTCACCTGCAGGCCACTTGCTTTCCCAGGCATTCCAGAGCAAAAGGTCGAGGCCCTTAAGGGATACCTGGCTCCAAATTGCATGATCATTCTTACTCAGGTCTGAACACTCTGACTGGAACAGAACAGTTCATTTCTGGGTAGGATACCAGGTTACAGCTGGCTATCAGGGCCTCACACTGGGATTTAAAGGTGTGTACCACCACTGCATGGCCAGGGTCACCTTACTTTAAGTTTACTTAAATAAAGCCAAATTTTCTCTAAAATTTCTCAAAATTTACACTACTGGGTCTAGAGATGTGGCCCAGGGGTAAGTGCTGAAATCCACTGAAATCGCACTGTAACACAAACAAAACCAGGAACTAAAATTGACATTGCAACTAGCTATGTGTAACTTTGACTGTTCTGTCTTGGAACGCTTGGAAGTGAGAATTTCCTCATTTATTTATTTATTTTGTCTGGTGGGTATGTATGTTGTTGACTGTTGGGCTTATTCTGTGTGTATGGTATTACAGGGACTACCTTTCCTCATGGTTGGGCCTATTTACAGTTTGATATTTGTAAAGACCTTCTTCAAGTCTTTTATCTTTTCCTCACTAGCTTAGATTTAGTATCCTATAGTAGTCTGGTGTCAGGTATGTGTTGCCATTGTCCTCTGGTTTGTCTTTTTTTTTTAAAGATTTATTATGTATACAGCAGTCTGTCTGCATATATGCCTGCAGGTCAGAAGAGGGCACCAGAGCTCATTACAAATGGCTGTGAGCCTCCATGTGGTTATTGGGAATTGAACCCCGGTCCTCTGGAAGAGCAGCCAGTGCTCTTAACAGCTGAGCCATCTCTCCAGCCCCTGGTTTGTCTTTTTATAAAAAAATTAATTTTATTAATTTATTTGGGGACCCAGGAGATCAGATGACAACTTTCGGGAGTTGGTTCACTCCTACCATGTGCACTCCAGAAATCTAATTGGTTTATCAGGCTTGCCTTTACCTACTGAACCATCCTGACAGCCCTGCTTTATTTAGCTTTCACTTTTTTAAAAATGTGTATAGGTGTTTTGCTGAGTGTCTGTCATCACATGTGTGTCGGTTAGGCCAGAAGAGGTCATGGGATCCATTCAGACTGGAGCACACCTACATAACAGTTCACTGTGTGTAAGTCCAGTCTCGGTGGATCTTCCGTCTCCATCCCAGCACCAGGCACATGTGTGACACACAAACATACGGGCAAAACATCCATGCACATAACTTTTTTTAAAGTTTAAATACAACTGACTTCTTCAACCCTCCCACCCCCCATAAAAGATGAATAAAAAGGATCTGTAGTGGAATGTAAAAAAGTAAACTAATAATAATAAAAAAAAAGATCTGTGGTCTAAGTCCTTCCAGAAAAGCAAGTAAGATTAAATACATATATAGGAGCATGAGAGCAGTAGGCATGGCAGCACATGC